CCTGACTCTGCTCTTCTTTGCCATTTCTTCCTCAGCAGTTAATGGAACAAGTCTTATTTCGGGCAAAGTTGGGTCCGGTTCTGGTGCTTCCTCAAGAAGGAAATCGGTAACCCTTGCTTTCCGGTGACCGCTGTACCGGTAGGTCGGCTCGAAGTTCAGAAGCTTAGCCCAACTTCTTTCTTTAATCCGTAGTGCGGCTCGCAAAACCGCAAGGTTGGGATAGCTATACATGGAATGGAGGTGGGCGAAATCTGCAAAAAAGAAGAAGTGTTAGTTCGGTCAATAGATTAAAAAACCGAGATAACATACAAGGAACAAGACCGAAGTTGAATTACCAGGCTCTCCCATTTTCCAATTTATAGGTCGGCCAGGAATTTGGGCTTGAAAATCCTCAAAATTCCCAGAGACCCAGAGGAAGTCATCGTCATTAAGGTCTTTGTCCGGGGTGTGCTTAACAATCTTCTCTCGGCGGCGACGGATCCTAAGGTAATAGACCCATCCAGCATCTTTCGAGCCGATGGAATATTGATGGAATATTTCGGCAAGGCCAAGGTTTAAACCGGTTTGGTGGTTTAGTGCGGCTATTCCCATAATAATACGGTATGTATTGGTGGACAGTTGGGTGGGGCATAACCTAGTTTGTCTAAGGAACTCACAGATCAACGGTTGTACAGGAAACCGTAGTCCGGTCTCAATTATGGATTGAAGAGTAAAAGGAACGAAACCTTCGTTGTCCCATGGAATGACGTCCTTTTTTGCTAAAGTCAAATGAACGTCATCCGGTATATCATAGTCCTTCCTGAATTCGGCCATCCCACCAGGGGTCTCAACTAAATACCTATACTTACCCATTTGTTGTATAATTTAACGAATAAGTTATTTCGGTGCGGTAATCGTGCCCAGAAGCTCGGTTGAGCGCACGCAGGAGTGCCTGGGTAACCTAAGTCTGCAGAGTAAAAAACAGGGGGTTAAAGCACTGATCAGTGGACCGTGCTACAATTTAAAAGTAAGGTATAAGAGCCCTACTTCGGCCTCAAATTAGCTGGTTCTATCTCGGTTCATCTAAAGGTTTGGCAGCTCGGTTTGAGCAGTTTGCTCGGTAGACCGGTTTAACGTCTAGGGGCAGCTTTCTGAGTTCGGTCTAAAAAATTAAGAGAGCTGGTTTAGCCCCAAGGCCTAAATCGGCTACAGTGTGAATAGAGTTACTTCAATTAAGCCTCTGGGGGCGGCTTTCTGAGTTCGGTTTAGGAACCAAGAGAGCCGACTTGGCCCCAAATGCTTAGTTCGGTTGACCACCGAGGTTCCTAGTTTGCTATATTCAAAACTTGGTGATCTTATTTCGGCTAGAGTGAAGTAAGACGTTAATGACTCTTTGAGCCTTTCAAGTTCTAGTTCGGTTATTGACTACAGTGATCTACCTGTTTTGGGCAAACAGGATCTAGTTCGGTTGCTATGTGATTTTGGATCTAAAAGTGGTTTTCTACATAACAGTTCATACACACATGAAGTTCTACTGGTTTTTTTCATAAAAGTACGAAAGTAAAGCAACAAATGGAGAAAAATGTTTGCAAAAAACATACAAAGCATGGAAAGTGAGGGTAAAAGCAACATAAGCAAAAAGAGAGGAAGAAAATGGATTCACTTACCAGATTGAAAGAGGAGCTAAAGATGGAGGCAGTAGCAGCAAATAGTGACACGGACGCAGCAAGCTCAAAATTTTGAAAACTCGAAGGTTCAAGAACACAGAGCGAAGATGAACAGCAAGGTGTGAGTGAATGATACGAGTAGAAAGGTTGTTTTGTGAAAGAAGGGAGAGAAAAAGGCGGCAAAAAGAGGCGGGAACGGTACAAAATTTCTGAAGGGCGGCATGACAGTTGGCCGCAGCTTATCAGAGCTTGCCACGTGTCACTGGAATGGGAAGCGTTACAGTCGCTGTGATTGAAGGGACGTTTTGACCGGACATAGTGATACCCGAGGTAAAATTAGCTCGGTTGGAGAGCCTGAGGGTTTTTCGCTCGGCTGGGGAGGCTAAAGGGTTTGTAGCTCGGCTGAAAAGGCTTAATAAACTCTAGCTCGGCCAGTAGACTGATAATCCCAATCATGCTGCGCAGATGGAATTAAGGGGCAATTGAGAGGGTAATTTTTGGGAAAAATTGGGCCGAGCTGCGAGTTGGGCTTTGAGGCCCAAAACGCGAAGGACTAAGTAAAAAGGCCGTAAAGGATACTCCCGCCCAGGAGAGCAAGGTTACTCCGGCCTTGGGGAGACAAAGTTACTCCGGCCCAAGGAGGTGAAATTACTTCGGCTCACAAATGATAAAGTTACTTCGGTTAGAGGATTGTAAATGTACTTCGGTCTGGGAGCAACTTGAAGTTAGACCGACCTTGAAGTTATATCGACCTTAGAGGTATACCGGTTTGGGAGTTATACCGGTCGAGAGTCGTTGGTTCGGTCCAAACACACCATCTTGTTACTTGGAAGTCTGATCTAAGCGCATCAAGGTTGAACAGGGCAGCCGAAGTAAAGATTTGGAGGAGAGGACCGAGCTAAGGATAGTTCGGCCTTCTGTGACTCGATATAGCCAAGTTTACTTCGGTCGAAAGGAAGTTCGGCCGTAAAGAAAACCATCCCACTTGGTTTAAGCGGTGGGGGAGGGTGTAAAAGGATAAGCATTATCCTTAAGAGATTGAATCCTAGGAGGACTCTGTATGGAGAAATACAAGTCCTACTAGGATTGTGCCATATGAAACTTATAAAAGCTCACAAGCATCACCTTGGAGGAGGTAATTGAACACAATCTTTTTGAGAACTTAGAGCTTTGTCTATTTGTCAAGTTTTTCTGACTTAGGCATCGGAGAGGTTTCCGGCACACACCCGCCGGCTAGCTCACGTTTGTGTTTTCAGGTGACAAAGCGACGTCGTACGGAGGAGCGTGGACTTGGTCAACAGGATTATACGAGGAGAATTATTTCCTCCCCGTACACTTATTATTATATTATGCAACTTTTTCATTTCCTATCCCTATACTCACTGATAAATTTATCAGTGTTGAAAAAGTTAATCCAACAACACCTCAAACTACTCAGTGATAAAATTATCACTATAGAAAATCACAAACCAACACATGTGTTCAACCAAAACAATTTCGTAACCAAAAAAAAAAAAAAAAATCTAATATTCATTACATATACATATCTCAAACTTTCAATATCATAATCAAAATACAAATTGAATCGCAGAAACAATAGAAAAACAACATTTTCACAAACAAAATCAAAATCACAAACTCAAACTAAAAAACATCAAAACATCGAAATTGAAATCAAAATCAATCATACCAGTCGAGCGCCCTCCACAAAATCGCCAATCACAAAATCTAACTATACACCAAACGCGAAATCACAAAACACGAAGATTCACAGATTTATAAAAAGCAAATCACAAATCGAACTCCCTCCATGAGATCGCAAATCCCAAAATCCAAATATACACGAAGCGTGAAATCACAAATCACGAAGCTCCACAGTAATGCATTAACAAATCGCGAAGTTCCACAGAAATCCAAATCACAAACCAAAACTTAAACTCACATCACAGTATTTTGATAGCAAAAATCAAATAGAAACGTAAAAATCAAATAGAAACGTGCCAAAACAGGGAAAAACAAAATAGGAGTAAAACAGATACAAAAAAAGGACTCCAAAATCTATTGGCGCACAACATCAATATTCAGGACTAAGAAAGGAATAACTATAAAAAGGAAGACCGGTTAGTAAAAAAATCCTTTATTTATCTCGTATTTAAGTCATTGAATCAATTGGGTTAAAATGAAAAAAGATCATCCAAATTCCATCACATGTTTAACAAGGCAAAACTATTTTGAAATGGTCCAATTCAAAATTGCGTAATACTAAAATCGAATGCAGACTAGGGTTTGGATAAAACCGGTAACAATCTTGATCCTCAAAAATAAAAAAATAAAAAAAATTACAATTAGTAGTGTTTTTATAAAATAATTAAAAATTTATGAAAAAGTTTGAGATTTCTTATTCATAAACTTTATCACTAATTTAAAACTATTTTTTAAACCTACAATAGATTCTAATTTCCTCAATAAAAAAGGATAAATTACAAAAATACTCTCTGAGATTTTCTTCAAATACAAATTGCTCTTATAATTTTAAAAGTTACATTCCACTTTTTTAGTTTTTTAATTATATAACAAATGATCTCGTTTATTAATAAACGATCGTGCTGGAGAGTTCGAATTTGAGCTCCCCGAATCCCCCTAATTCCAAAACGTTGCCGTTTTTTATTTTTATTTTTTTTTCTCTGTGCAGAAGAAGGAAGATCAGAAGGGAAGAAGAAGAAGAAGAGAGGGAAGAAGGAGAGAGGGAAGAAGGAGGAGGAGAGAGAAGAAGGGACTAGAGGGGGCTAATAAATTGGGCTGGAGGTGGGGGGCGGAGGCGGAGGTGTGGACGGAGGAGGCAGAGGCAGAGACGGACGACGATCGGCCTGCGACGACGATCGGGCAGAGGCGGAGGCGACAAGCTGCGACGACGGCGGACGGAGCTGCGACGACGGCCCTCTTCTTCCCTCTTCTTCTCTCTTTCTCTCTTTCTCTCCCTCTTCCTCTCCCTCTTCCTCTCCCTCTTCCCCCTGCGTGAAAATGGAGGGGGAAAAAAAAAAGAAGCCTAATGCCCAAAACGACGTCGTTTTGGGCATTAGGGGATTCGGGGGGAGAAGTCTCGAGCTACCAAACATTATTCATTAATAAATTATTAAGTTAATTAATAATTTTTAATAGTGTTAGATATATATTTCAATTAATAATTTATGTAATTTTATTGTTGTATAAAAAAGAAATTAGAATTTTTATTTTTATTTTTAATAAAGGAATATTTGTAATTTTTAGAACAATCTATATTTATAATTTATCAAAAAAACAAAAAAACCGGTTCAACTACCGGTCCAGGGATCAACAAAGCCCTGCGAATCAACCCATTCTGCTCTTGCATTGTGTTCTGCGCAGGGACATGAGAGGCCTTTCTTCTCTGGCTTCTAGGGCTTCACCTGTAATACGAAACCTCTCAGAAGAGCTCACCAATCAGACCAAACAAAACAGAGAAAACCCTTCAAATTCCAAATCTTTCACACCTCTTCACCACAAACCCACTGGTAATAACACTCTAGTTCCTTTTAGAGGTAAGTCTTCATTGAACCCTCAACTTATTACAAACCCCAACTTGTCTCCTAGTTCTAACACTACTATTTCAGCTAATAAACAGAGGGTTCATTTAAAACCAATCGATCATCATTACATTTCTCAGATTTTATCAAGAAAAGACTGGTTTTTGTTGCTAAACCACGAGTTTAAAGCGAAGAGGATTGGTTTGGATGCTCAGTCAATTGTGAGTGTTTTGCAAAATCAAGAAAATCCATTGCACCCTTTAAGATTTTACATCTGGGTTTCGAATATCAATCCTTTAGCCGCGAAGAACCAGTCGATTCGGGGGGTTTTAGCGAATTCCCTTTATCGAAGAGGGCCGGTTTTGTTGTCGGTTGAGTTGATTCAAGACATTCGAAACTCTGGGTGTGTGGTTACAGAAGATTTGCTTTGTATTTTGATTGGTAGTTGGGGGAGATTAGGTCTAGCTAAGTATTGTGCTGAGGTTTTTGGGCAGATTTCATACTTGGGTCTTAATCCAACTACTAGATTGTATAATGCGGTCATTGATGCGTTGGTGAAATCCAATTCGCTTGATTTGGCTTATTTGAAATTCCAACAGATGCCTGCTGATAACTGCAGTCCTGATAGGTATACATATAATTTCCTCATTCATGGAGTTTGCAAGGTTGGGGTAGTGGATGAGGCGCTACGATTGGTGAAACAGATGGAGAGTTTGGGATACGCGCCTAATGTAATTACTTATACGATGCTTGTTGACGGGTTTTGTAATGCGAAAAAGGTTGATGAAGCGTTTAAGCTATTTGAGAAAATGAAAGAGAGGAATGTACATCCAAATGAAGCTACCTACAGATCTTTAGTTAATGGAGTGTTTCGTTGTTTGTCGCCACACAAGGCATTTGAATTGTTGTCTAAGTTTGTGGAGAGAAAGCCTATCTTGCCTAAAGTGGCTTGTGATGCTATACTGCATTGTCTTTGTAGCAATTCTTTGCCGCGAGAGGTAGCCTCATTTTTTAGGAAAATTGAGGGGAGAGGTTATTTGCCTGACAGTTCAACTTTTAACATCGTAATGACTTGTTTGATTAACGGATTGGACCTTGAGGAGGCATGTGATATACTAGATAGTTTGACCGAGAAAGGTTTGAAACTCGGCTTTAATACTTACCTTGCACTTACTGAGATTTTATACAAGGTTGGAAGAGTAGTGGAAGGGGATTGGTATTTAAATCAGATGCTCCGGGATGGACTTGTGCCAAATGTCTTTTCATATAACATGATAATTGATTGCTTCTCCAAAGCTAAAATGATTGACAGAGCATCAGAAACTTTCAGAGAGATGTGTCAAAGGGGTATTGCTCCGAATCTTGTTACTTTGAACACCCTTATTAGTGGGTATTGCAAGGCTGGGGAGGTTGGTAAGGCACGAGAGCTGTTGGAGATGCTCTTACAGCATGGTTTTAAGCCTGATATTTTCACTTTCAGCTCAATAATTGACGGCCTTTGTCGGGTACACAAAATCGAGGATGCTTTCGATTGTTTCTCAGAAATGGTGGAGTGGGGAGTCACTCCAAATGCTATTACATACAATATCTTAATCCGTTCATTGTGCATCATTGGTGATGTTGCTAGATCGATGAAACTTCTGAAAAAGATGCAAGCTGATGGAATAAGCCCAGATGTTTTCTCTTTTAATGCTCTCATCCAAAGTTATTGTAAAATGAATAAGATTGAAAAAGCACAGAAAGTTCTTGTAACCATGTTGAGATTAGATTTGACTCCAGACAATTTTACTTATAGTGCTTTTATTAAGGTTCTTTGTGAATCAGGGAGATTTGATGAAGCTAAAAACTTGTTTTTCTCAATGGAGGGAAATGGGTGCACCCCGGATGCTTATACGTGCAACACATTTATTGATGCTCTAGTCCAGTCAGCTCACCTTGAGGAGGCATGGGGCATAGTGAAGAAATATGAAAAGAAGGGAATTGTATTGAAACCCATCCCTGTTTTGTAGTATAAGGGTTTCTTTCAGATTGTTAAAAGTTATTACTGATTTACGAGTTTCAGCTGACTTGTGGAGTTTTGGCTTTGGCTAATGTGTTGCCTGCTGTATTCTAGAATCAAGTACATCTTAGGTATGTAACAGCAACTCCATTGTTGCCCCCTGCTAAAAATTTTCTTTTTTTTCTTGTGGAATATGCTTGTTGCATGATTGGCTTGGATCTTGCATAAGAATTTTTCCAATATATATGTTTAATTATTATTATTATTATTTTATTTTTTTTTTGTGTACTGCTTCCTTGTTTAAATAAATTGCAAGTTTGTTTTTAAAATTCCAATGATTTGAATTTAACTTTATGGAAGGGATTGAATAGGCTTACAAAAAAAAAAAAAAAAAAAAAGTTAAAAAAAGTTTATTTTTTTTTTTAAAAATTAGGTAGAATATAAAAAATAATATATATATATGAGTATGCCATTTACATACATGTACATATATGTATATTATATATACATGTGTGGACGAGGCTTTTCTCTTTCATTCCCATTAAATGCTGTTTATGGCAGAAACTATCTACCAATTTAGACAGTATTTCCTGAATACCTCAGGAATTAAATCTTTATATGCAACTCTAACATGTGCCCTGCTACTAGAATGTGCCATTGGTGAGATTTGTTGGTCTGTCTTTGGCTGAACCCGTTTTTTCAGATTAGAAATATTTGAAAAGATCTTCAAACAGCTTGAATAATTTAAAGCTGGATACAAATTTATTTATATGTTGATTTGACCTAAAATTAGTATTAATTTGATTGAAGATTATGTACTGAGCTTCAGTGGTTGTGTATGCAGTGTCTGGTTCTAAACAGCTTGAATGGGTCAAGAACTGCTTTTCTCAGTGTGCCAAAATTGGATTTGGAAGAAACAAGTAGCCAGCTCAATAGAAATCATTAGTGAATAATGCTCAAAAGCTGGTTTTTTTTTTTGCATAGAAGAGCACATTGATGAGTTCTTTCACACAAACACAGATTCAAAGATTATCCCTTGATTTTCAAGAAGACACATTATCTTACATTATTTTGCTATTATGGCAATGGGACTACTTTTGTGATGACGATTCTTTCTCATTTTTGGTCTGAGTGATGGCAGTTTTTTGACTTAACATTGTATGGAGAACGAAATGGAGCAAAGTTGTTTTTATTGGACATACCTCCTGATTGTTTGTAACATTCCCCACATCAGAGGGCGAGTTCTAGGTCGATCAGAGGTAGCTAAACCTGTTCTTTTTTCCTTCTATTGTAACTTTGTAGTTTTATAATTCATAAATTTTTCTTTCTTGTAAATTGAAATAAAGGTTCCATTTCCTTCCATTTTGTTATTGCAAATTGTGAATAGTGTGAGAATGTTGGGTTATTGATTTATTTTGAATGCACATTATTTAATTTGCTTCTAGATCATTTTCATTTCTTGATGATGGGTTTATACCTCATTTCATTTCAAAAAGTTGTTGGTGGAAATGTTGAATAAAAGGTAAATTACAAATATACCTTCTGAGATTTGCTTAAAATACGAATTGTCCCTTGTGGTTTGGAAAATTATAAATACCTTCCTGTTAGAATTTTTTATTTAACAGAATTAATTGAAAAAGTAAAATTTCTAACTGTTCACTTATTCAATAATAAAATTATCTGAATTATTAATTGAAATAAAATTTTAACATTATTTAAAACTGTTAATTAAATTGATGATTTATTAATAAAAGGACTTGTTTGTTATGAAATTAGAAATCTTATGGGGCATAATGTAATTTTTAGAGCCACGGGGTGATTTGTAATTTAAATAAATCTCAGAGGGTGTTTTTGTAATTTACCCTTGAATAAAACATTATGCAACCTAAGCTTAACAAGTGTTTTTTATTTTATTTTTTTAATTTGGCTTTAAGGACAATTTTCGCCTCAAGCAAGTTGAATTGTGGAACTGCTAATTTGGAGCTTGGGCTTGCTGAACAGTCTTCTAGACGGTTATTTCTTTCTTTCTCCAAAGTTTTACCCAAGTAATTGGATTTGCAACTTTCTACATAGCAAGGTTGTCAGTCAAGTGGGGGTTTGCCAACTCTGACCTCCTTGGTAGAAGCAACCTCCTTTTTGTCAAGTGCACCCAAGTGACTTTTTTAAGTACCTCAAGTAACATTTGAAATGTTCAGACCTATTTGCCCCAGCTCAATGCAGTCAAGTGCCCTAATAACACACAATATGCTTCTGGGCAAGTCATTATTTGGGACTGTGGGCTTGCCTAATGGATGCAACACTCATTTACTGGGAGTGACGTCCCGACTTTTAACTCCTCGATTTCTTAATTTTTCTCACCAGTGGAAGGTAAGGTTGTAATGACGTATGAAGAAGGAATTTACATTAATATTTCAAAACTTGAAAAGGAAAAGATCACAAGAAGTGAAAGTTGGTGACTTGCACTCCAACTGCCTTCTCCTCTTAGTCACCTCTACCCTCATCCAATTTTTTTTTTTTTTAGCCCAGAAAGAGAAAGCAGTCTACCTGATGGTGGTTTTCCATTTCCAATTCAATTTACAAAACAAACTTCCATTACAATTCTCCTGTTACAAGATGGTTTCTTTACCATATGCACAATACATATTGATTAATTTAATTTTTTATGATTCTCATATGGTAAGTCATGAATTCGACCCTGAAAGAGTGGGCCAATGGTTAAATATTCTATTCTCCACTCTCCCCCGAGGCTATCTCCATGACTTTGGCCTAATAATTACTTAATATATGTAGAACAGGAGATTGCATGTACTTGAGAGATTAGTCAAGGTAAAATCTTAGATATCTTTGTGAGTAAAATTTTAAAATATATGTATTAATTTAAATTTTCCCATTATGGGCCCGGTGCAAAGGTTGGTTAAAAGTATGCAAATCAAATGGATCTAAGTATGGGTAATTTCTTAAATATGTTTTTAATCATGCATTAGTAGTGATGTTGAAAAGTGGGATATTCTGGAATTAGGTAGGGATGGTTTAGAAGCAACCATTAACTGTCTAATAAGTTTCATGCCTTCACTTATATATTTAGTTAACAAAAATATATCCCCCCTCGCTTCCATGCGCTTGAATTATAAACTGGTTAGTTCCTACAATGGCATTCACATCAGTCACAGTCAAGCACTGGCTTTTAGCTTTGTTTCTGATCTACATCTCTGTTTTCAGCAGCAAATTTGGTGTGTTTCTGAAAGCATAAATTCGCTCTCATACTCATGATTTATATGTGTGTGTATATATATGCATCATGATTTATATTTTCATTTAATCCTTTTCAGGAATGGCAGATGAAAATGTCCCTCAAACTGGTGCTGCTATTGTGGATCCAACTCAAATTGTTGACAAAGCCTTGATCTGTTTCAATAATAATTATGTGAGTGACTGAGTTTTTACTTGTGAAAACATGAAAATTCTTATTTTTCACAGAAATATGTGGCTCGAGAACCAATTGGGACTAGCATAGTTGGTTAGAATGTTAACACCTTACTCGGAGAACAAGAATTCAACCGTTGCCACAGGCAAATCTTCCCTCCCCCAGGCTACAGCTCAAGTATATGGCTTTTGAAAGTTACTGGCCTTCACATATTTGCTCATTTCGTGACTATTTTCACACGAGTTGTTTTTCTTTTTAAGGATAATTTTGTTGCTAAAAAAAGTTGATGTTTTAGACAAATGCTAAAAAAATAATTAAACTTTTTTAGCACTTGCCCATGGTGGATTCTATTAACTTTTTTTTTTTGGTTGTTGTTGAAGCAAAAACCAAATGGGAGTCTAGGCATTTGCTTGATTTTGTAGGCTTTGACAATATATTTATTCTATTATATAAAATACATAACTCAGAACAATTTTAAAAAATTTTGTCGCACAATTTTAATTTCTAAAAATGCCCATACAATTGCTAATTGAATGGATAAAGCATGCCACAATAACTGTCAACTAGTTTTCAAAGCCCATTCGTAATTCTCATTTCAATAAATCATCCAAAAATTTAAATACATAATTCAAAGCCCAGTAACGTTATATCGGAAAGAAAGAAGCAGAGAGAGGGCTAGCCCCTTTCCCTTGAGATTCCTAACATGTCTGCCAGCAGAAAACTGCTCAGTTCAGTTGGTGGTTCGTTCACCACCAGCATGTCCTCTGGTTGGTCTGCACCCAGCTTGGCTAGTGCGTCCGCACACAAATTCCCTTGTTTCCAAATATGGTGGATGGTGCACTCACAACCTTTGAACAGTATTTTGGCATCCTCCACCAACCCTTGTTTCCAAATACATAATTACACATACATAACATATGCACCCACCTCTAGTAAACATACATATACTCCTATGTATCAATAGTTCTGCATTTTTTTTCCTTTGATTTATTCTTCCTTGTGTTTTAATTCTGTGATATTTAGTGGGCGATCAATCTAATGAAATGGTGCAGATTTACAGCAGTTGTGACGAATCATATAGATTGGATCAGAGCGGGAGCCTCAATGTGCCACCTGAACACATCAATCAATACTGCAATGGGCCGTGTTTGGCAGAGACACACCTTGTGCTCGACTGCATTGGGAACATACTAATAAACTTTGAGTTTTACAACAAGGCCACAATACAGGATGTGAGAGACACCATTAAAGCAGGCTGTGGCTATGGCAGTCAGAGAGGTAAATTTTTCATACCATCAACTCGTTTGCTATTTTCTTTTCCTCATTTAGAAACAATTACAATAATATGGTTGTTTTTATTGTTTTTGTTTTTGGTTTTTGCAGGTAATTTTAATGTAGCAGAGCATATTCAAGCTAAAACAAGCAAGGCAGACAAGATTACCATCATGCCCATTATGGTTGGACTTGTGTGGATGATTTTAGTGCTTTTGATATGAGTTGTTAATATGGCAAAATGGATTGAAAGTTGGCACTGTTGCTGCATAAGATGATAATTAATGTACAACTTTGCTTTGCTTAAACACTAATAAGCAATAAATTATGTTTGGCTTATGTATTGATTAGCTGGGATCTAGCTTATGTTTATGGTGTCATTAACTGTAATTATAATTATTGTCATAGTTTGTCACAAGGATTGTGTATCAATTTTTTTTTCCCCTAAGAATTCATAATGATGCAGTAATAGTTGAAGAATTTGTAATGATAGGTCTATTTAGTATTATTTTTGTTTTCTGTTTTCTATTCAGTTTTCTAAATTTGTTTAGCAAGTTGTTTAATTTTTTATTTTTTTCAAAACAGTTCAACATTTGGACCCGTTTATTTTCAGAGATAGTTTGGGTGTGATTGTTAGTGAATGGATTATTAGTGAGGAGACTATTAGTGAGAAAACTAAGAAAAATTTTGCTTGTTTAATAATCAGTGAACTAGCAATAGTCTTGCTTGTTTTGAGAGATATGAGTGAGATTAACCATGTAAAATTTTACAAATACTCTTTGGTTGCATTACTATCAAATTTGGGTTTATACCAACTAATTAATGCATTACATATTTTAATATTAAAAATCATATTCATAAATATTTTTTTTGGTACTATTTTATTTTTTTAATGTAATTTTCTTTGGTATAAATATTATTATACTATTATATTTTTATATTAAAAATTATTTTTATATTAAATTATTTTGACATAAAGAATGGTGGAGTAAAAAATGGTGGAATAATTAAAAAAATGATAGAGAAAAGATCATACTAATCAAGTAGGGTAAGTAAATTAGGTATGATAATAGAGGGTAAAATAGTAAATCCCCCTCTAATCTCAAGGGATTGTTTTTTTAATGCCATCTTTCATGAGAGATTACTAATCCCTTCCTAGTCTCAAGGTATTGTGAATCTCTTTCTCCATGCTGTAAACAAACACAATATTACTGAATTTTACATCTACTCTAATCCAATTTCATCCTCTATAATCCAAAATAAACGGACCCTTTAAGAAACTAAAAAGAACAAATATGTTTGAGACCTCTAAATGAGGAGTTCTAAAGAAAGCTCTAAAGGTGGGTCCCACCTTATGATTTGATAGTTTGACTTGTGATGTTGCATTTTTTTTTAGAGTTGATTCAGAGTTCTAAAAAAAATAGCACTAAACCAACTCTAATAAACTAGAAATGCAAAAAAGAAAAGAAAAGAAAGATATAACCATCACATCATAAGGGGACAACTCATTAGAGTTCTCCCTAGAGCTCCATCTTAAGTGCTCCCAAGGATTTTTGTTTTTTATTTTTTTATTTTTATATACAGTAATGATTCAAACCACTAATTTTGGTACCTTAATGGAGCACTAATGACATGGCAATGAACAAAAAAAATAAAATAAAAACAAACCAAGATCAAAACATTACATCACTGTGGGTGGAACTCACTACCAACTCATTAGAGCTACCTTTAGAGCTCAAAAATTAGAACTTCAAAACATTTTTCTTTTATATATTGCCACATCATTAGAGTTGACATTAAAACTCTAACTCTAGAGTTCTCTATTATTTTAGAATGGTGGCTATTGTGCTTAAAAACATGATCATAATAATAACCCTGTTGTTCTCAAGTTGGCACAACCCAAAAAATAGTACTAAAATCTTGTCTTGAGCATCCCCACTCGAAGAAATTGGAAGCAAAGCTAATCACTCAAAAACCCATTACATGCAAACTACTGGAAATTAAGAAAATGAACCTTAAAATAGGTTAATCTTTTCTTGACCTCTGTATCTCTGTAGTTATTCAACCTGACAATTTCTTTACTAGTTAAATTAGATTCCTTAATTTTGGCCAACAATCAAAGCCAACTCCATCGAATGGGAATTGGTGTGGGTCAACCTTAATGCTTCTATTTTTGTTTTCCATTTTTTAAAAAAACTAAAAACATTATTTTTGTGAAAGTGGAATTGATTATAAAATTTTAAAAATAATTAAAAATGAAAAACAAAGAAGCTTATTTTGTTTTTAAAATAAACTTTTTATTTTGTCTTCCCTCTCCTACCCCACTGGCCACAACCCACCACTGGATCACCATGACCATCCACCACATCTGACCTCTTATGACCTTTTGATAATCTCTAACAGCCTCCATTCACTGCTTGTGACCTCTAACCACATTCTAGTGATCCTCTAGCCACTTCATAATCTCTGCACGACACCTTGGCTACCAACTCTAGTAGCCATCACATTCGGCCACCTCTACCACTCACCACCCGCCACTACCAACCACCGCCCGCCACCACCACCCGCCACCACTACTCACCACCTACCTACCATCACCATCCACCACCAGCCACCCACCACCACCAGCCACCTACCACCTCCACCCACCAGCCACCTGCCACCACCACACACCACCACCACCACCCACTACCTACCCACTACCACCACCTACCTGCTATCCGCTACCCCATCCTACCCGCCACCACCCGTCATCCGCCACCCACCTGCCACCACCACCCGCCACCGTCACTGCCACTGCCACCGCCACCGCTACCCACTCGCTACCACCCGCCACCATCACCCACCCACCTGCTACCGTCACCCACCACCCACCGTCACCACTTTCCACCACCGTCTTTCGTCGCCACTTGCCACCACTTGTCATTTTTCACTCTTTTTTATATTTTTTAAACAATTTGTCAATTACCGAACACGTTTGTAGTTTATGTTTTTCTAAAAATAAACAAAAACCAGTTTATAAAATTTTTGTAAATATAAACTGAAAACGTAAACGTTACCAAACACACCCTAATTGTTCAAGGGGTAGTACATATGGTGCACCATATATCACTCTTATTGGCTAAAGCCTCGTTTGCGCCGCTTGCCATTTCTCACTCTTTTTTATATTTTTAAAATTTTTTAAACATTTTGTCAATTACCAAACGTGTTTGTAGTTTATATTTTTTAAAAAATAAACAAAAACCAGTTTATAAAATTTTTGTAAATATAAACTGAAAATGTAAACATTACCAAACAGATCCAAAGTATTTGTGTTTTTTTTATATTTTTGTTTTTAACAAATGTGAAGGAAAAAAAATTTAAATATACTTTATTTTTATTTTTTTATTTTGTGTTATATGGGATAAGAGTACACACCCACCCACTGTCCTTTACACGTGGGAGGACCATTTTGCGCATCCACACTAGAAATCCCAAGTTCCTGAAAACACAATGCCATAACTTGCCATTGGGCCAATCTCTTGAGCGAAATATAGTTGATTAGGAGATCGGGTCTCAAGTTGTCTAATCAAGTGAGTTCAATGTTTTTCACTGTGCGAGTCCTGACTTAACCGGAGTTTGTCTTGGAAGATCGGGGTAAGTTTTCAGATTATAGTTTCCTCGCTCTGAACGGCTAGCAGGACACTCTGGTGATCTCTGCAAGGGGCACTGCCTTTGCCCTGCGAGAGAGTAGAGAGATTTTCCTATAAAAAAAAAAAAAACACTTGCCATCACCGCCACTGATGAAATCAACAAAAAAGAACAAAAACAGAGTCACCACCACTACTACACTACTCATTTCTTTTCATCACCATCCCTTTCCTCCATTGATCCTCCTCCAATGGCCTCTCTCAAGAACCTCTACTTCACTCTCTCTCACTTCTCAAGAACCCTCTCTTGCCCTCTCTCTCGATCAAGAACTCAAGCAATCACCGCATTGCTTCTCACCACAGCTCTCTTCTTCTTCTACTTCACCTCCCCATTCTCCGACGCCTCTCCGACCACCACCATCGCCTCCACTCTCGCCTCCCGCCTCCTCCCTCTCTCCTCCGTCTCTTCCTTGACCACCCATTTCGCCTTGTTCTCCGGTAGGAGTTGTGCTGACTCCACTGGTCTCTCCTCTGTAACAACAAGTGACACGAATTCAAGAAAAACAGGGGATCGTGAAACAGGGGACATCACTTCTTGTGATATCTTTGATGGTAATTGGGTTGTAGACGATTCTAACCGGGTTTATCAGCCCGGGTCTTGCCCGTTTGTTGATGGCTCCTTCGATTGTTTCAAGAATGGCCGGCCTGATTCTGATTACCTCAGGCTCCGGTGGAAGCCACACGGGTGCCAAATTCCGAGGTCTTATATTAACCCTCTTCAATTTTTCATCGTATGTATCTTTCATGTAGTCTTTGTTTGATTTGATAAGGTTTTGTTTTCTCTGTTCGCACTGTTGTCTCTGTTTTGAATGATGTAGGTTTGATGGGTTGAAAATGTTGAAGATGTTGAGAGGGAAAAGATTGGTTTTTGTTGGGGATTCATTGAACAGAAACATGTGGGAATCATTGGTCTGTGCTTTGAGAGAATCATTGCCTGATAAAAGAAAAGTCTATGAAGTTTCGGGTAGGCGCGAATTCAGGACTCAAGGATTCTATTCTTTCAGATTCAAGGTTGTTACAAATTCAAAAACCTTGTTTGTTCTTCAATATTGATTCTGTTCCTGAATTACTAATTCTTACATAGTTTCTGCGAATTGTTTAGGATTATAAGTTCTCAATTGACTTCATAAAATCACCATTCCTTGTTCAAGAATGGAGGATTTTGGATAAGGCAGGAACGCGAAGAGAAACGCTGAGACTGGACATGATTCAAGGCTCCCCAACAAAGTACCATGATGCTGACATAATCATCTTCAATACTGGGCACTGGTGGACTCACCAGAAAACCTATAAAGGGTAAAATTTTAGTACTAAAAAAGTACTTTCAAAATCACAGCAAAGATTATGATCACCAACCATTGATAATTATGATATGGCTTTGTTAATTTCAGAAACAATTACTTTCAAGAGGGAAATTATGTATATCCCAGACTAGAAGTGGCAGAAGCCTATACAAGGGCGTTGAGGACATGGGCGCAATGGGTTGATGCCAATATCAACGCCAATCGAACCAGGGTCTTCTTTCAAGGATACTCAGCTTCTCATTTCCGGTTTGTTTCTAATTCTCAAAATCTTTGAAAACAAAAATGTCACCAAATATTGAAAATTATTGCTTCTTTTTGCAACAAAAACAGTTACAAATACTAAAATGCAATCACTTGGGGCTAATTTGAGCCTGAATCTTTACTAGTGCTGAAACGGCAGTAGACTAATCCGACCTTGCCTGACTCAAACCTCTCTATCAAAAACCGCTGAATTTTGTAATTTGGTGCCCCTGGGGACCTCCTAAGCTAAGTTCAGTGAGCTAGTGAAACTAAAATTTCAAAGTCATTTAGCACAAAGTATGAGGCCATCTGGGATTGTTTTCTTTTTCGTCGTTTTTTTTGACAAGCTATTGAATTTTTTGACAATGCAGAGGAGGTCAGTGGAACTCTGGTGGAAACTGCGATGGTGAGACTGAACCGATCAAAAATGACGCCTACCTAGTGCCATATCCATGGATGATGAGTGTGCTCGAGTCAGTAATGGCAGAGATGAAGACACCAGTGTTTTATCTGAACATAACGAAGATGACAGATTACAGAAAAGACGGACACCCCTCAATTTTCAGGCTGCCAAAGCCACAGAACAGTGCAGGGACGATTCAAGACTGCAGCCATTGGTGCCTTCCAGGGGTTCCAGACTCATGGAATGAGCTTCTGTATGCCACACTCCTATTATCCCACCATGAATAATAGTCACTAGGGGCTTCACTAGTTAATGTTACAATATGTTTGTGGTGATTTTTGACTCCTTTGGAGTCGTGTATTGAGCCTTCTTGTATATCTTTCTTCTTCTTTTTTCTTTGTAATGAAAGGCTTACTTTTGCTCTGTTCATCTATGCAGTTGTGTCCCTTTCCATTCTTTTTCTGTGTGTGTTTGATGGAAAACATGTTTAGTATGTTTGATTTGAGTTTTTTCAATTAAGTTTTTTAAAAAATGAATTTTTTGATTTTCGTATTTTTTTATTTTTAGTGAATATTTTTAAAATTTTAAATATTTTTTTAGTTTTTTATGTGCACCTTACTTAGATGTATCTAAAAAGTAAAAAAATTATAAAAAAATATTTTCAAGAAATTATAAATACATAAAAATATAAAAAAATATATTGAATTCTCGTATTTTTTTTGTATTTTTGGTATTTAGTGAATTTTTAAAAGGTTTTTTCACAAATTTTTTATTTTTAGGTATATTTATGTTAGGTATGTCTAAAAAGTAAAAAAAAAAATACTTAAAATATTAAAAAAATTCCGTAAAAATAAAAAAATACAAAAAACAAAAAGTAAAATTGTTTGAAAAGTATTTTTGAAAAAAAATAGAATTTTCTTTTGTAACCCTTTTCTTTTTGGATTTTTTTTTTTTTCAAAAAATTATTAATCGGTGGTACTATCAAAAAGTTATTAAAATTCATCAAATTTTTTTATGACTTTAATTATCAACGTTTATAAAGTTTATCATTTATTTATAATTATTTTTATAAATCTACATTGAATTGAATTTTTTTTTTTCTTTTTTTCCTTTGTTTTTTGGGCGCGGTTTCCCGTTCAATTCAATCTATGATTTGAACAGGAGATGTCTGAGTTGGTGGAGCTTACCCAGGGTTGTAATATATTTTGGTGTGTATTATCAACATACAAAATTAAGTTAGTGTGATAATTATAATTTATTTTATTTAATATATTTGTCATCAAAAAATATATAATTTATTTTTAAAAATAATTTGAGTGAACTCACCTTAAGCACTTTTTTGTGTAATAAAATATGGGGCAATGGTAGAGAGCTACAATTTGTGTGACTCAAATGGCTCAAAACTGCCAAAACGACAAATTGTGGCTCTCAAACATTATTCTAAAATATGTAAATATTGTTATATAAAAGTATTATAATAAATTATAATCAAACACCACTTAAAATATAATTAAAGATCCAACGCACCACTTAGACATAACTAAAAACATAAGAAATTAGTAAAAAAGTTTTCGATTAATAACCAAAATAATACAATATGAGTTATAACCAAGCTGTAATTTATATATTATAAAAATTTCCGTTGTTTTTATTTTTTCCAAAAAAAAATATTTTGATACAAGTGGCATCTTTTAAGCCACAAAATTTGAGCTACGTAGCATTGTCGTAAAATATAATTAAAGATCCAACGCACCACTTAGACATAACTAAAAACATAAGAAATTAGTAAAAAAGTTTTCGATTAATAACCAAAATAATACAATATGAGTTATAACCAAGCTGTAATTTATATATTATAAAAATTTCCGTTGTTTTTATTTTTTCCAAAAAAAAATATTTTGATACAAGTGGCATTCATGATTTTTGGTAAATTTGATTAGGGATTTTTATTGATAAATCCCATTTAGAAGTGTTTTAATCCAAAAAGTTCATAAAGAAATTTATTAACCCATTTAGTCCCATGTATGTATAGTTTTATTCCATAAAGTCCTTTTTCTTGATTTACACTCTTTTTTTAGACTCATATACCCTTATATTTAATTTTGATAACCATACAAATATTTTTTGAACGGTTAGTAATTTTAAGATGTAAATATTCATATTTTAACATCCATATTGGTAAGAATATAAAATTGGCCCGTGGCCCGTGGGCGGTCCGAAGATCGCCCCCGGGCCGGGGCGGGCCCGATCCATTGACAATGTGAATATTCATATTGACATGTTAACATTCACATTGATAGAAGTGTAAAATTGGCCCGCAGCCCGTGGGCGGTCCGAAACCCGCCTGTGGCCCGTGGGCTGCCCGGGGCGGGCCCGGTCCGACCCGTTGACAATGTGAATATTCACATTAACATATTAACATTCACGTTGATAGGAGTGTAAAATTGACCCGCGGCCCTTAGGCGGCCCGAAACCCGCTCGCGGGCCCGGCCCGTTTACAATATGAATATTCACATTGACATGTTAACATTCACATTGATAGGAATGTAAAATTGGCCCGTGGCCCGCGGGTGGCCCGAAGCCGGTCCGTTGCCCGGGGTGGGGCGGACTGTAAATATTCATATTTTAACATTCACATTAGTAATAATGTAAAATTGGCCCGTGGCCCATGGGCGGTCTGAAGCTAGCCCCTGAGTTGGGACGAGCCTGGTCCGTTGACAATGTGAATATTCACATTGACATGTTAACATTCACATTGATAGAAGTGTAAAATTGGCCCACAACCCGTGAGCGGCCTGAAACCAGCCCGTGGCCCATGGGCTGCCCGAGGCGGGCCTGACCCATTGACAATGTGAATATTCACATTAACTTATTAACATTCACGTTGATAGGAGTGTAAAATTGACCCGCGGCCCGTAGGCGGCCTGAAACCCGCTTGCGGGCCCGGCCCGTTTACAATGTGAATATTCACATTGACATGTTAACATTCACATTGATAGGAATGTAAAATTGGCCCGCGGCCCGTGGGCGGCTCGAAGCCCGTCTGTTGCCCGGGGTGGGGCGGGCTGTAAATATTCATATTTTAACATTCACATTGGTAAGAATGTAAAATTAGCCCATGGCCCGTGAGCGATCCGAAGCTAGCCCCCGAATCGGGGGAGGCCCGGTCCGTTGACAATGTGAATATTCACATTGACATGTTAACATTCACATTGATAGAAGTGTAAAATTGGCCCGCGGCTCGTGGACGGCCCGAAATCCGCCTACGGCCCGTGGGTTACTCGAGGCGGGCCCACCCGTTGACAATGTGAATATTCACATTAACATATTAACATTCACGTTGATAGGAGTGTAAAATTGACCCGCGGCCCGTAGGAGGCCCAAAACCGGCCGCGGGCCCGGCCCGGCCCGACCCGTTTACAATGTGAATATTTACATTGACATGTTAACATTCACATTGATAGGAGTGTAAAATTGGCCCGCGGCCCGTGGGCGGTCCGAAACCCGGCCGTGGGCCAGGCCCGGCCTGACCCGTTTACAACGTGAATATTTACATTGACATGTTAATATTCACATTGATAAGAGTGTAAAATTGGCTCGCGGCCCGTGGACGGCCCGAAACCCTCCCGTGGGGCCCGGCCCGACCCGTTTACAATGTGAATATTCACATTGACATGTTAACATTCATATTGATAGGAGTGTAAAATTAGCCCGCGGCTCGTAGGCGACCCGAAGCCCGCCCGTTGCCCGGAACGGGGTGTGCTGTAAATATTCATATTTTAACATTCACATTGGTAAGAATATAAAATTGACCCGTGGCCCATGGGCGATCTGAAGCTCCCCCTGGGCCGGGGCGGGCCCAGTCTGTTGACAATATGAGTATTCACATTGACATGTTAACATTCACATTGATAGAAGTGTAAAATTGGCTCGCGGCCCGTGGGCTACCCGGGGCAGGCCCGGCCCGTTGACAATGTGAATATTCACATTAACATATTAATATTCACGTTGATAGGAGTGTAAAATTGACCCGCGGCCCGTAGGCGGCCCGAAACCCGCCTGCGGGCCCAAACCGGCCCGGCCCGTTTACAATGTGAATATTCATATTGACATGTTAACATTAACATTGATAAGAGTGTAAAATTGGCCCGCGGCCCGGAGCGGGTTCGGCCTGTTGACAATGTGAATATTCACATTGATAGAAGTGTAAAATTGGTCCACGGCCCATGGGCCACTCGAAGCCCTCCCGCGACCCGGGGCAAGCTTGTTTGAGCCCGGACCCGGGCCCGAGCCCAGCCCGAGAACTTGGGCTAGGACCTGGGCCATCACTTTGAAGCTCGGCCCGCATAAGGCCCATTTAAGGCTCGGCCCGAGGCCCGGTCTCTTTTTTGTGGAAAATAATAAAATTTTGGGAGAAAAAATTAAAAAAAATTTAAAAAAAATGGCGAGGCTCACCCAAGCCCAAGTCTAGGCCCAAGCCCCTTGGCTCGACCACCGGGGCACCCAAAGCCTGAATATCTTTGTGTCAGGGCTAGGGCCTAGGCCTAATTTTTTGGCCCGTGGGCCGGTCTGGTCTGGCCCGAATTTTGGCAAGCACCCACGAGGCTTTACGTGGGTTGGCCTCGGCCCAGGCTAGGCCGAGCCCCTACACATTGATAATATGAACATTCACATTGACGGTGTGAATATTTACATTTACAGTGTGAACATTCACATTAGGGGTATTTTGGTAATTATGTCACCCATAGAACTTGAACATTCACATTAGGGGTATTTTGGTAATTATGTCACCCATAGGATGTGAACATTCACATTAGGGGTATTTTGGTAATTATGTCACCCATAGGATGTGAACATTCACATTAGGGGTATTTTGGTAATTATGTCACCCATAGGATGTGAACATTCACATTAGGGGTATTTTGGTAATTATGTCACCCATAGGATGTGAACATTCACATTAGGGGTATTTTGGTAATTATGTCACCCATAGGATGTGAACATTCACATTAGGGGTATTTTGGTAATTATGTCACCCATAGGATGTGAACATTCACATTAGGGGTATTTTGGTAATTATGTCACCCATAGGATGTGAACATTCACATTAGGGGTATTTTGGTAATTATGTCACCCATAGGATGTGAACATTCACATTAGGGGTATTTTGGTAATTATGTCACCCATAGGATGTGAACATTCACATTAGGGGTATTTTGGTAATTATGTCACCCATAGGATGTGAACATTCACATTAGGGGTATTTTGGTAATGTCAATGTGAATATTCACATTGACATGTTAACATTCACATTGATAGAAGTGTAAAATTGGCCCGCGGCCCGTGGGCGGCCCGAAATTCGCCTACGGCCCGTGGGTTACTCGAGGCGGGCCCGGCCCGTTGACAATGTGAATATTCGCATTAACATATTAACATTCACGTTGATAGGAGTGTA